AATGCTGATGGTTAAACAACACAATGAACATACTTAATAACACTGAATTATACATGGGAAGACTGATGAAATGGCAAATATTTTGTTACCTATATATTTACTGGGAGCTCCGGTAACATAGTGCCTAACGCATTTGACTGCTAACCAGAAGGCTGGCAGTTCAAATCCACAAGCCACTTCTCGGAAGGAATATGGGAAAATCTACTTCCGTAGAGATACTGCCTCAGAAACCCAAGGAGGGCTCGCTATGAGTCAGATCCAACTCGATGGCAGTGGGGTTTTTTTGGTCTATATTTACCACAAAAAAAAATCCTATGGGGACTGCAGCACAGTGAGTTGCTTAACATGGCCCTTCTAGCCAAAGTCCTCCATTTTGTGATGTACTGTAAATCCTAGTCTCTATGCCTGTTTTTAAGGAGCTCTGGTAGTGTAGTGCCTAAGGCACTCGAATGCTTAGCAGAAGGCTGGCAGTTCAAACCCACCAGCCACTCCTCAGAAGGAAGATGGAAACCCAAGGGGGGGTTGCTATGAATCGGAGTTGACTCAAAGGCAGTGAGTTTTTTTAGATTTATGCCTTTTTAGAGTGGTATGTATCTTGATCCCCTCCTTGCTGGAGGGTGTGACTCAAGTCACCACCCTTAGTTTCCCTGAGGGTATATGTGTGAATGTTCTGAGAAAGTGCCCTCTTTTGCTCTGGTCCTGCGTTTGGTCTGTCATCATCTCACCCCTGGACCTGAGACAGCAGCCGGTCATCTGACCTGTCGATTTGGGTTCGCCAGCCCCTGCATCAATGTGAGTGAGGACAATCCTCCAAACCTGCCCAGACACTTGGGACTTGCCAGCCTCCCAGCCGCCACCATCACATGAGCCATTTCCTTGGCAGTTTGTGATTTCTATGAGACATTACAGCAAAAGACAGAACCCTAATACAGGAGGGAGAGTACAGAGGGGAGGAGGAGGAGTCGATGTTAGAGATGATGGAGTGGTACAGCAGTTTGGAAAAACTGGAGATATGGGACATCTTTAACCTCTGGCTCATAGGGACCAGTCTTGTGCTGATCCTTCTAAAAGAAATTAGGGAGCCAACCACTTGAGTGCTAACCAGAAAGCTGGCTGTTCAAACCCACCAGCCACTCCTCGGAAGACTGGGCAATCTATTTCTACACAGATACTATCAAGGAAACCCAAGAAGGGGTTACTATGAGTCAAAATCAACTCGACAGCACCGAGTCTGGTTTTTGAGTGAGATCACCAAAACAATCTTGAAAAAGAATAACAAAGTTGAAGGACTCATACTTCCTGATTTTGGAACTTTCTACAAAGCTATAATAGTCAAGATTTTGTGATCAATGGAATAAATTTAAAGTCCAGAAATAAACACTTGACTTTATGGTCAACTAATTTTCAACAACAGTGTCAAAACAACTGAGTGGGGAAGAATCGTCTTATCAACAGGTGGTGCTAGGACAACTAGCTATCCCATAGGCAAAGAAGAAAGCTGGGCCCTTCTATCATTCCATATATAAAATTTAACCTAAACGTAAGTGCTAAAACTATAAAACTCTCACAAGAAAACATAGGCATAAATTTCATGCCATTGGATTAGCCAAGTTCATTAGATATGACACCAAAACCACAAGCAACAAAAGAAAAAATAGGTAAATTAGATTTCATCAAAATTAAAATCTTTGTGCTTCAAAAGACACCATCAAGAAAGTGAAAAGACAACTGACAGAATGGGAGAAAATACTAGGAAATCATTTATCTGATAAGGGAGTGGTATCTAGGGGGGAAAAAAAAAAAAAATATATATATATATATATATGTAAACTCTTATAACTCAATAATAAAAAGACAATTTAATTCAAAAATGGGCAAAGGATCCGAACAGATATGTCTCCAAAGAAGATACATAAATGGCCAATAAGCATGTGGAATGATGTTCAGTATCATTAGCCATCAGAGAAATACAAATCAAAATCTCAATGACATACCTCTTCACATCCCGTAGGACAGCTAAAACAAAAAAAGGCAGACAGTAACAAGTGTTGGCAAGGGTGTAGAGAAATTGGAACCCTCATACATTGCAGGTAGGGTTGCAGAAAAAAAAAAAAAAATGTGCAGCTGCTATAGAAAACAGTTTGGCAGTTCCTCAAAATGTTAAACATTGAGTTACCATATGGCCCAGGGGATGTGAGGAGGAAGATCTTACCTCAGGGAACTCACAAAGAAAAAGGTCCCAAGCAGTCTGGCCTGCCACACACTCCCAGTCCCTCACCCTCACCCCTTTCACTCCTATGCATATATCCAAGAGAAATGAAAATATATGCCCACACAAACTTGTACATGAATGTTCATAGCAGCATTATTCTTTTATTATTATTATTATTAAAAGTTGGGGAAGCTTTATTGTGTGCTCCCGGGCAAGGTTTGTGGGTCCCCAAGAGGGACCCGGGCAAGGTTCACGGGTCCCTGAGAGGGGCCCGAGAAGTTCATAGCAGCATTATTTTTAATAGCCAAAAGTAGAAGCAATTCAAATGTCTATCAACTGATAAATGGAAAAACAAAATGTGGTACATACATACAATGGAATATGATTCAATCATGAAAAGCATAAGGTACAACATGGATGAACCTTGAAGATATCATGCCAAGTGAAAGAAGCCAGTCACAAAAGATCATATATTGTATGATTTCATTCATATGAAATGTTCAGAACAGGCAAATTCAAAGATACAGAAAGTAGATTAGTGGTTTCCAGGGACTGGGGGAGGGAAGGATGTGGAGTGATGACTTCTTACTTCTTTCTTTTCTAGAATAATGAAAATAATTCTAAAATTAGATAGTGGTGTTGGTTGCACAACTCTGTGAATAGACTAAAAACCACAATATTGTGTGCTTTAAAAAGGTAAGGTTTATAGTATGTGAGGAGTCCTTGCCTGGTACAAATGGTTACAGCATGTGGCTGCTTATCCAAAGGTTGGAGGTTTGAGTCTGCTCAGAGGCACCTTGGAAGGAAGATCTGGTGACTTACTTCCAAAAACTCAGCCACAGAAAACCCTACGGAGCACAGCTCTACTCCAGCACATGGAGCTGCCATGAGTTGGGATCCACCAGGCAGGAACTGGTATGATATGTGAGTTATAGCTCAATAAAGCTGTAATTTCAGGCTCTTCAACCAGAGACTCTAAAGTTAACATTCCAGATTGGCCTATGGCTTATCAGCCCCTATGAATTACATGAAGCTGGTTTTTTTGGCTCTAAGCTGGTTTATTACTGCTCTGGTATGGTTCTAGGTCACCAGCCTTTACTCACTTGGGTGGATCTTACTGTGGGGATTAGAGAATGGCCTCTGTCAGGTCACTCACACAACAGAGTCTGAGGCAAAGCACAATCGATCCATCAATGATCTGGGCCATCTGCAAAATCAGGACAAGGTGAGGAGATAACTCAATAGGACTGCTTCTCATATGAAAAAACTTATAACCTAAACATGTAGTGCTCCCATTCAGAATAACTGCATCAGTTAATGGTTACCTGGGGGCTCAGAACATCTCTGGCAGCCACCTTTGGAAGGGGCTTCATGGGGGATCACGCAGCTCATTCTGTGTCTAGTGCTACTGAGGGGATGCAGGGAGAGATCCCACCCCAGAGAATTCTCTCACGCCCTCCCCTCCATCCAGGGCCTCACTGCTTGGGGAAGGGGTCTCATAAAGCCCCAGCTCCAGACTCACCCAGGAGGGGAAGAACTCACTCTTCCCTGGTGATGGGGAGAACCAGGGCAGGGGAAATGAGGAGGGATGTGTATGGACAGACAGGGCACACCATCTCAGAAAGAAGGCCAAATGGAAAAAAGCAGCTGGAGAACAACACATATAAAAGGAGTCCATTATGTTAGCTGTTAAAGGCACTAGCAGGTACACACACCTGTACATAAGAGCATGCCATAAATACATACCCATAAACATTCTCATAAACATAATCATAAACATTCTCCCTGGAAGCAAGACTGCCCCCCCAAGAAAACACATTCCGTTAAGTCAATTCTGACTCACAGTGACCCTATGGACAGAGCATAACTGCTCCAAAGGGTTTCCAAGGCTGCAACCTTTACAGAAGCAGAATGCCTCATCTTCTTCCTGTTGAGCAGTTGGTGGGTTCCAACCACCAACATTTTAGAAGCTGAGCATTTAACCACTGTGCCCCCAGGGCTCCTTAGCCTGAGACTGGGGAGGTGGGATTTCATTTTTCACTCTATAATTTCTGATTTATTTGCAGTAAGAATGTAGTCAAATGTCATCAATGTCCCTGAACTACAAATGGAGAAGTTATGTTGGCAAACGTCTTGTTGTACATGTTTTCACTAAAATAACAACAACAAAAAGAAAATAGGATTTCTTGTGCAAAAATCACTTCCTTTTCTACCCAAAAGAGGAGGAGATGGGGGGGGGAAGCCATTGGTTCTGAAAGTGGACAAGAGGGAAAGAGCATTCGAAGGAATGGAACAAAGATGTGGAGGTGGAAAAGCCTCTAGAAGATCTGAGGGATGCTCAGGCTCGGCTCCGTTAGCGGGTCCAGGGTGTGACCTGGGGTCAGGCCTGGCTGAAGATGAATCAGAACAGTGCAGAACAGCAGCCAGGCTGCAAAGGTCTTACACATTCCTCAGGGACTGAAAGGCCATGTAGAGTGGGGGCACTATGCAAGCAGAGGGCTGGGAAGATGGATGTGAGAGGGCAGAATGCAGGTCATGGTAGGGCCCCAGGTCTCAATGGTATCTCACTCTTGGCCTCTCTCTCAATTAACTGACCCCCTACCCCATTATCCAGAGTTGGCTCCTAATACGGTCATCTCTAAAAAGCACAGTACCTAGCCCTGGGAACGTCTTCAAACGTGAATGAAAAATGTGTGGCGTGTCTGAGTACAAAACAGTGATGGTACATGCAAGATCAGGACCATGTCATTCACGTAACGACCACAGCCTGCTCATGGGCTATCTGCAGATAGCCTCTCATTTAACACCACAGCTGCCCAGTGAGGTATGGCCAGGCACTGTCCCCATTTGCAGACAAGGAAACAAAGACTCAGAGAAGTCAGGGACCTTGTCCAAGGTCACTCCACTAGCAATGCTGAAGTCCAGGTTGAAAACCAGCACCACAATCACCACTCTACACTCTCAGTACGGTCCATTTACCTCAACAGCAGCCAGAACAACTCAATCACTCCAGCTTCCTGGAAAATATGACCAGAGGTAAATTCAGGGCTCAGCGGTTCTACTGGGAAGAAGAGCAAATTCAGATCCATAAAGTCACCACACACAGGCTGGGAGAGATGACAGGGTACTAGATGAGATGTCAAGCTAGACTGTTACATAAACAGCCTGGTCATCAGCTGGCAGAGCCAGGAGGGGTATCACAAACTGCCTCCTCTGACCTCTTCCATCAGCACCCAACGGCTGCAGCCTCTTTCTGGAGCATCCTGGTTTTGACTTGGGGCCCTGTGTCCAGCTGCCACAAGTTGCAGGTCCACTTTAGAAAAGTTAGGGGCCCTGTCTGGGCCAACTAGGAAATGAAGACAATGACCTTCAGCTTGCTGTTCTGTGGCTACCCTGAAACCCTGGGGCATCCACCCAACATCCCAGCAGACCCTCACTGTGTACTGCACTGTGGAAACACTGGGCATCCCACCCCTCTGTCCTCCTAGAACTGCATTCCACGGGGATGCACACTAAAGACAGACCTGTCAGAGATACTCAGAAACAGCCATCTCTGTTGACATCACTGCATTCTGAATAAATATTCCAGAAAGACCCTTTTCACCTCTAGCTCTCCTGATACAGCTTCATAGAGCCTACGAAGACATGCAGTTGGCAAATTATTCACCCACCACTCAACAATTTCCTGGTTTGGACAATGGAGTAGTAAGAGGGCTTGTGTCACAGGATGGCTGTGGAGATTATATGAGGATGTAAGTACCAAGGTCAGTAGCACAGATCAATTGGCGCTGATTGAGGGGCTGCTATGTCAGTTTCCTATTCACAGTACACTGCACACATGCACACACACACACACACACTGCTATAGCCTATCAAAATCCTGTGTCATCTGGTAACTTTTTATCATGTTGTTTGCTCTCCCCTCTACCCCACCCACACCAACAGGGGTGACTCCTAGTCATCCCTTTCTATATCTTCTTAGATGTCATTTTTTCCAAGAAGCCTCCCTATCACACCTCCCCCCCCCAATATTACAGATGAAGAAACTAAGAATCAGAGAGGCTGAGTTATTGGTACAAGGTCACACAGCTGGTAAAAGGAGGAGAGTCAGGTTTCCAACCCAGAATTCATGTTCTTAACTCCCAGGAATCTTAAACACTATGTTAAATAACATCAATCAACCAAGAGAATAGGATGCATGCATCTCCTGATCCATGATCCCATACATTTTCACCTTTTCATTTTTTTTTCCCCATCAAAGCCTTATTAGGCAACTACTTTCCCTCTAGGTGGTTCCCTCTAGATCATAATCAGGTGGATAGACACCAATGACACAAAAAAGGAAGGAGTCCAGGGCCACAGCAGCTGGGGTGAGGCAAGCCTGACTCTGTATAGGGTTCTAACTCCAATGATGCCTCCTAAGGTTATGCTCACTCCCCTGGTGCTCTCTCAGAAAACATCACTCTAAGCTCCATCCCTTGTAAAGGAAGGTGCAAGCCTTCTGGTCAACCACCAGATGATTCAATGCTGAGATCTTACTCTAGTCACCTGCTGCATCCTCTGCGCATCTGATCAAATTGGCTCATTGTCTCTCCCTCTACCCCAATGACAGACTATGTCCAAGGCTCAAAAGCTGACTGACCACACTAGGAACATGCCCACAACCTCAGGGTACATCATATATGTTGTAAGGACCTCCCCCAGCTATCCACTGGCTGCTCCCTTACTCATTCAAGTTTCTGTTCTCATGGCACCTCCTCAGAGAGACCTCCTCTGACCTAAACTAGCTCTGCCTTCACCCCAAACACTCTGGATCCCCAACCCAGCTTCATTCTCTTCATGACACAGATGACATTAACTGCCATCACATTACAGATATTGTCCCTCTCTACCACTGGGTATAAACTGCACAAGGGAAGAACCTGACTGATGTGTGGCCACTGTCAGGGCAGTGCTTGACAGAGTCACCCACCAAAAATGTTTCTTGAATAAATAAAACTTTACACATGGTTAAGCTACGTGTGTAAATATGACCATAAAGTACTGTCATCTCCAGTCTATATATATAATTTTTAGGAAAATAAATGTGTTATCTATTTTATAAGGAGGCCTACTGGTGCAATAATTAAGTGCTCAGCTGCTAACAGAAAGATTGGTGGCATGAATCCACCAACAGCTCTGCAGGAGAAAGCTGTGCCAGTATGTTACTGTAAAGATTATAGCCTAGGAAACTCTATGGGGCAGTTCTACTCTGTCACAGTGGGTCACTATGAGTTGGCATCAACTCAATGGCATACACAACAATACCAATTTTGTAACTGAACAAACAATGTTTGCCATGGTAAAAAAACAAGCAAAGCTTATCTCCAAACCCGTCCATGGCAGGTCTCACTCTGCCCACCACCCTAGTGGTCTCCTATATGGAGACCACTCCAAGTTTCCACATGTACATGGAAGGTGATATGAATCAGAGAGTATTTACTCAAACCATTAAGAAAATGGGTTCAAACCCTTTGTAAATACAATACTGAGTTGTCAATGAAAGCAAACATGGGTATAGGGACGGATAGATGGGTGAACAAGCTAAACAATTATGTATGTCTAAATGGACAGTATATCCAAGATCATGTACAGGGTTGGCAGACAATGGGCCTCTCGAAGAGTATGAAGGGATGGACACTGGGAGGAGGTAACTATGGGGAGGAAGTGGGAGGGGAGCTGCTGCATTGTAAATTTTGGTCAATGACATGAGACAAAGTATATGTGAACTGCTGTATGAAAAGTGAATTTACTCTGTAAATCTTCACCCAAATCCTAATTAAAAAAAAAAAAAAGAAAGAAAATGGGTTCAAAGAGTAATTTTTTAAATATGTAGCTAGTCTCACATTAATAAATTAAGAAATGATCAGGGAAAACACAGGGAAAGAACAGAAGAGTGAGACAGAAACAGAGCCCTCCCCCCACCCTCAGCGCAGTGACAGGGGCCTGAATGATACAGGATATGGCCTGGAAGGTTTCTCAGCTGTGGCCATGGCCTTAATGCTTGATGCCTCTTTGCCTCAGGCCCCCTCTGACGACACATGATTCACTAACATGCTGAGTTGTGGTCAGGGGCTCAGGAACCTCAATGACAGCAGAGAAATGAAGACAGCTGTCTGGGATGGATGAATACTGATGGATGAAGTGACCAGGATGCAAAGCTGACCAAAAGGACTGGAGTAATTAATGTGCACAAGTCTGGAGGCTCATTTCTTCCTCACTAGAGGGGGTACAAAGAATATATCTGGTTCCCTGTATCCCACGTCTTTCCTGCATTGGAACAGGCTATCTCAGGAGGCAATGAGGTCCCCATCACTGGAGGATTCAATCTCAGGTTAAACAATTACTGGGAAGAAATGCTGCAGAGGTGATTCAAACTGGAGGCTGAATCACATGACCTGAGAAGTCACTTTTAACCCTAAGCTCCTGATTAATGGCCAAGTCCTTTGCATTTCACTACTCTCAAAAGCTCTCCAGTCTCATTGCACGTCACTCAATGTCTGTTCTTGCACTCTGCCACTTGGAAGCACTTATAGAGCATCTACTGTGTGCCAGGGGCCAGGGTTCAGTAGGGCACAAGACAACACCTCTGCACAAGACAACACCTCTGCCCTGTTGGATCCTGCATTCTCCAGAGTGGGTGTGGACAAGAAACTCATAAATAAACAGACAAGTAAGATAACTTCAGGTAGGTGCCATGAGAAACAATACAGTGAGAGAATACAATAGAAGCTGATGGGAGAAGCCACAGCCTAGGACAGAGTGGTCAGAGAAACCTTCTCTATAAAGGAGACATCTGAGCTAAAGGGCAAGAAAGTGCCAGACACAGGAAGAACTGGTAGAAGAGCATTCGTAGTAGAGGGAACAGCAAGGGCAAATATCCTGAGAAGGCACCTGATAACTTGAGTTCAAATTTTCATGAACTGAATCCCATCCTGATGTCACTACCACTGGTCAATAGCCCCTAACTCTACTGCCTATCCTCTCCTTTCTGCAATTGACTTATTTAACAATGCAGGTCGGCTGAATTTCCCACTGGAAGGTGGTCTCTGAGTGAGGGCACAAAGGAACATACATACACCTCTCCTCAAGTGGGGCAGAAGAAACTTTGACATTTCGGTCCCCTAAAAATCGGGGCCTGTCCCAGATAAGGGGTGAAATCCCACATGCTCCCATCAGTAGTTCAGAGTCTATTTTTGCAGAGTATAGACCTGCTGGAGAATATCATGAAATGGGGGACCCCTGAAAAATATAAACCCAAATTCTGATATCTCATGTATATCAGGAGGTTCCCAAAGTCCCAGGTTCAGAATTTCTATCTGTGGTTACTACCACCAAGAAGACAGAAGCTAAACTGGTACAACCCAGAGACACTCCACTGGGGGAAGGGCCAAGGTGGTGGCCACATGGGTATCTGCTGGAGGTGAATGAATGGGCAGGTCTTTAGGTTCCCAGATCAAGATCCTCCATACTTCATAGAACCTAGAGGATGTCAGCCTACTGGGGACCCAAGGACAGAAGGAATACAGGAAAAACTATCTACTCCATTGTGGACAGGCAAACATCCAGTCACACCACAGACTTTCCAGGGAAAGTCCTGGAGACCTCACTTCCCAAGCATATCCTTGACAAAGGTCATCTCTAACCTGACGTTCTGAAATGTAACCTTACACAAGGCTGGGTAAACTTCAGAGGTATTATTGCAAAGCCAAAGAAAAGTTTCTAGCACTGAAGGGGACACGAGGACTACTGTGTGAACATCAAGAACTCAGGTCCTATCAAGCTCAATTGGCATAACATACTATACAAAACATTGTTCCACCTCCTACTTTGGTGAGTAGCGACTGGGATCTTAAAAGCTAGCAA